AGTGAGCTAACTTCATTCTCCTCAAAAGTGACTCAGAGGGAATAACATACACACTCAATTGGTTATAGAAATCTATCTTCCATTATAGGAAAGTAGGAAGGGAAGGGAGAAGAGAAGGGGGGTGGTAGAAGGAAGGCAGATTGGGGGAGTGGGTCATCAGATTCAAATCACTTTTGAGGAGGGACAGGGTGAAAGGAGAGAGAGAAGAGAACAAAGATGGAGAGAAATACAGTTAGCAATAGTAACTGTGAAAAACTTTTTTGAAGCAAGTTTCTCTCATAAATGTCTCATTTCTCAAATATATAAAGAACTGAGTCAAATTTATAAAAATAAGAGCCATTCCTCAATTGATTAATGATCAAAAGATATTATCAGTTTTTTTAAGATGAAGTAGTCAAAACTATCTATAGCCATGTAAAAAACTAATCTGACTCACTATGAATTGGAGAAGTGCAAATTAAAACAATTCTGAGATACTAACTCATACCTATTAGATTGGCTAAAAGGACAGGAAAGGTAAATGACAAATGTTGGAGGGGATGTGGAGAAAATGAGACATTAATGCACTGTTGGTGGAGTTGTGAACTGATTCAATCATTCTGTAGAGCAATTTGGAACTATGCCCAAAGGGCTATAAAACCATGGATATCTTAGCAATAGTATTACTAGGTCTGTATCTCAAAAGAGATAAAAACAAAAAGGAAAATGACTTTTATGTACAAAAATATTTAGAGTGTCTCTTTTCTTGGGGCAGAGAATTAGAAATTGAGGGGATGCCCATCAATTAGGGAATGGCTGAACAAGTTGTGGTATGTGATTGTGATGGAATACTGTTGTACTATAAGAAACGATGAACAGGATGCTCTAAAAAAACCTGGAAAGCCTTGCATGTGCTGATACAAAGTGAAATGTACTGTGTATAAAGTAACAGCAATATTGTAAGATGATCAGCTATGAATGACTTAGTTATTCTCAGAAATACAACAATTCAAGACAACTCTGAAGAATTTATGGTGAAAAATGCTATCCATCCCCAGAGAAAGAAGTGATGATATCTAAATACAGATTGAAGCATACCTTAAAATGATGCTAAGAGTCTGACATACAGGGTGGTGCACAGGTGGTTAAGTAAACAAGAAAAAAATGGATTCATTCTCTTTGGAAATTAATCAAAGAACCAATTTCTGTTGGAGCTATCCATGGTGCTTACTTCAGACTGACCTCTGTCCTGTTGTTTCAACTCTAGCTACATGACTTATCAACCAAAATGTGACAATTAACTAGCTCTAACTTTAGTGAGAAAAGGACTTCATCTGAAGAAGTAGAAGGAATTACAAAGGGAATTCAAAGGGTTTTGTAATTCTGAATAATGTGTGGAACTGAATATAGGGTAGGGGAAATCTACGAAGACTTGAAGAAAAGCTGAAGTAGAAGGAAGAGAAGAGAAAGATTAGAAAAGTGGAACAGAAGCAGGAGAAGGGCTAGAAAAGGAGGAGGAGAATTCTAAGAATAAGACAACTAAATCAGAAGGGCCCAATGAAAATAAGGAGTAATAGGTGAAGCAGTTGAGCGGAAAGAAGTCCTATAGGAAAAGGAGAACGACTGGAAAAGGAATAGAATGAATCAAGGAGAAATAAGTTGGTAAGATGACAAAGCTATTTAGAAAAGATAAGTAAGACAGTGTAAAGTTAAGTTGCCAAGTTGCTGAGGGAATGGCTGTGTCTTGCGAAGGTGCTAGCAATGTGAGAAACAGAGCAATAGCCCCAGAGTTAAAGACTCCCACAAAAACAAACAAAAAAGACAAAATTTGCCACAATATTTGCCCAGGGAATCAACTAGCAAGTAAACAACGGACTCTGAATCTCACTTTCTTAAAGTATGGAGAGCAGAATCCATTTGTCAGTATGCTTCATAGAGTGTATCTGATGTTTTAATTTCTGCCATGGCTAAGTAAATTATTGTCTAGCTCAAAGTGCAAGTTGAGCTCCCTCTAAAGAAGGCAGATAGTGGGGTTTGAGAGTCACCTCTGAATTATATGTTACCAGTGAGAATGAATTCTTCCTTACAAGAAACATAAAGACTTTAATACAAAAATAAAGAAGAAAAATAATTTGAATAGTAGAAGCAAATTGGATAGTGGAAGAATACAACAGAATAGAAAGGATATAAGGACCAACATTTGGAAATAAGTAACAGTTATGATATTTTTCCTGAAGAGGAGGGAGATAGACCTTTTGACAAATAAATCAGTCCAATAAGTAGGAAAAGAGAAAGTTATCAAAAATAATGGTATGAATGCAAAGGAACTCTTGAACCAACATATATTTTTAAAATACAAGTAAAAAAGATGAACACAAGAAAAATGCAGTATAGATAAAACAAGCATAGCATAACTTTCATAATGGTGTCAGGAGAACTAAAGCTCAAAATAATCTGAGACTGACAAGTAATGCTAAGGACAACATAAATATTAAGCTTTGTTGGGAAATGAGCAACATGAAATCAAAGATAGGACCACTGATAAGGAGATTTTAGAATTCTTGAATGTGGAGGTGGTATATTGGTGGATGATGGCAAGGTCAAGGTTATGACTATCTTTGTGTGTAGTTGAGGTAGAATAGAGGAGTACATTATGGAAAGTGAGTAGGCTGAGGAACTGAGTGGTTAAAAAGGTGTGGACCTACATTGCTAGAGAGAGTTTCCTCACCAGGGATCTCTCTACTCCAGTGACATTAGAGGTCCAGTCTTTTTCCCATTCTTACCTCATTTTTGATGTATTATCTTAAAACTTTGACATCAATATAAATTAATACATGTATATCATAGCTATAGGCTAGGGAAAAAAAATTTCTTTCAGCAGTGTCCTCTCAGGGATAGGGAACCTTGAGGCCACATGTGACCTTTTAGGTGCTCAGGTGTGGCCCTTTTACTGAATCAAAACTTCACAGAACTCTAAATCCCAATAAAAGAATTTGTTCTATGGAGTTTGGATTATTGTTTTGCATTCGAAGCTCTTCATAACTTATGTCCCTTCCACATTTCCAGTCTTCTTACACCTTAAGCTTATCAGGTATTCTTTGATCCAGTTGACACAGTCCTCCTTGCTGTTGCATGAACAAGACACTTCATCTCGGCTCTGGTCATTTTTTCTGGCTGTCCCTGATGCCTTGAATGCTCTCCCTCTTCATCTTCACCTACTGGCTTCCCTTCAGTTCTTAAAATCCCAACTAAAATCCCATCTTTGTAACCTTTCTCCCTTTTATTTCTAGTTCCTACTCTCTGTTAATTATTTCTTATTTGTTCTATATATAGCTTATTTTTATATATTCATTTGTTTGTTGTCTCCCCCATCAGCTTGTGAGCTCCTTGAAGGCAGGGACTATCTTTTTGCATCCCCAGTACTAGTACATAGTAGGTGCTTAATAAATGTTTATTGATTTCTTGATTCTTTGCAACTTGTAGTTTAGAGTGTTGCCAGAGAACATTGAAGGGTTAAGTGACTTGCCCAGAGTCACAAAGCAACATGTATCTGAGACAACACTGGAACACAGGCCTTCCTGGCTTTTAGGCCAGCTCTCTATCCACTATAACATACTGTCTCTATAAATAATATTAAATAAAACCAAAAATTGCTCTTACATACATTTCTTGCGCCTTCCACAGAAATGCTGCTTTTGTGGGTGCTTGAGGTTAAATCCATGGTGAAGATGCTGGTTTTCTTGATATAATCTGCTGTGCTTTTCCAGTTCTCTTTTCCTCTCAATCATCATGATTTCATTATCACTGTGAGGCTGGGCTCCTATGGATCTTTTGTAAAGTACATGGGAATGATGTCCATCAGATGCTGAATAGTTCAATTTAAAGGCTAGGTGCAGAGGAAGTGGTTTCAAGAAGTAATCTGCTTCCTGGGTTCTTATCAGACCTGACTGAAGAAAAGAAGAAAATATAATCAATACATTTTGGGACTGACATTGGAGAAATCCTCGTCAACACAAAGTTGGCTGATGCATGATGATTTTCTACATGACATACATGGTTTCTATGAAACCATGCATGCATAGATTATAGACATATATATATATATATATATATAGCAAAGTAATAGGTAGGCCACAGTAGCTCATAAAGCCTATCTAGTAAGGCATGAAAGGATCTCAGTTTGCATATCAATGAAAGGAGTATCCCAATCACTGATATCACACATTCTTTTAGTTTTGTAAAGTCAGTAGAGGAGAATTGAACTATTTTCTAAATTGAATATTCACTGTCAATATTTCATGTAATTTCTCTTTTTACCCTGGAGGCCAATCAATATTTAAGAGAGTTCAAGAAATAGCAATGAGAATGAGAATTATAGACTCTTAGAAAGGCAATAAATATTAGTTCACCTTGGTTATCCTATAGATGCAGAAACTAAAGCTACAGCAGTGAAGCTTTTGTATGCAGTCACACCGTTTTGAGAGCTGGGACAAGAACCTAGGATTCTAAGTTCCTGGCTAGAATTATTTCCATTACATCATGCTGCTGTACAATCCTCAGAGTAGACAAGGTCCCAGGTAGATTTTCAAAAGTTACCAAACACTGCTATCATCTTCCAAGAGGGAGTATGTGTTAGCTTTCCATTACTTATGATCCCAAGTTTCTCTATAAAGAGCTTAAGCAGATCTCTATAAAATTGTATAGAGGATTCAGGGGTAGGAATACAATTCCATTTAATACACTACTGTCTTTAACTAAACATTTCTCTCAACTCTGTTCTCCTTCCTAATTCTTTCTATCCATAGTAACATCATGATCATGGCTCCTAATTCAAAAGTTAGATATTGGGTTTGGAAATTGGAAGACCTAGGTTTGAATATTGTCACAACACTTATCGTATGATGCTTGGTAAGCCACTTGACCTCTCAATCTCCATTTCTTTATCTGTAAAATGGGGATAGTAAACCTCATAAGGGTAGAGTAATAATTATATATGTAAATAAATGAGATCTACTTGAAATATTATTAATATTTTATTATTTCTATGTCATTATTTTAGCATATTATAGTATTTAGGAAGCTGGTATCAGAGTCAAGAAATCCTGGATTCAAGTTCTATTTCGGGCACATATTGGATGTGTGCCATCAGCTTATCAATTAACCTCTTAGTGTCCCATCATTAAGTGATTAGCAAATGATATAGGATTAAATTTAATATTTTAGTTATTCATTTTTCACCCAAAGCTCTACACATTTTCTCCTAAATTAACATGACTTAGTACTGAATCAGGACTCTGGATACCTGGTTTTTCTAGTCCTGTTGCTGTCATCACTTTTGGTCTCACTTTTCTAAACTGTGAAAAGAAAAGTCTGACCTTTGATAATCTCTGAGGTTCCTTCTCTAATCTTCTGTCCTTCCAATTTCACTGAAGCCTGGTTTCCACTAGCCTTGGTTAAGCTAAGTACAGAGTCAAGTACTATGCTCAGCTAATCTCCATCTGCCCTAGATATCTGCATAATGTTGGGGAGGTAATCATGGAGAGGCACTTTTCAGCTGCTGGAAAGGTGCCAAATTAAACTTTAGGGGGAAGCAGAAAGAGGAGATGAAGGTTATCATCCTTATCTCTCAAGGATTTAGCAGTAGGCTAGAGAGGGGCCAAATACCAATTCCTCATTAAACTATTAGCATCACTGGTTAACAACTGGGGGGCGGGGATGGACACCTCCTGGGGAGTCAATTAAAGACCATCATCTTTATATCTAAATGTGAAATATTTGAGATTTAAGCCTTGGGTCAAGAAGGAAGCAGCCTCTCCATAGTATATTAACTCTACTTGACCTAGTTTGGAAATCAGTTTATCATATTTTTGGTTCCCAAGTGTGTTACAAGTTAGAGAAGTATATGAAAACAATTCAAATGCCAGCATCCTACCAGAAGAAAGAGAACTGTCAAATCACTGTGTTTAAAACTAGGTATGAAACTATATGAAGTCAAGTAGGAGTCATTTTCAATGAGAAAATTTTGGTCTTGGAATTTAAAAGCTAACCCAGAAATACCAGTAAAAATGATTTAGATGATTAACTTAGGTAACATTTCTTATATTTGGCAACTTCAGAGAATATGATTTTCCACACAAATGATTTTTCCAGATAAGTGAAGCTTGACCTTTTCTTTTTTTTAGTTTTAAAAAATATTTTTCCTATTAGCAACAATATGTTTTCTCTCCTTTCTTCCTCCTCCATTAAAAAAAAGAAAAGAAGAACAAAGTCCATGTAACAAATATGCATAGTTCAGCAAAACAAATTCCCACACGAGCCATGTCCATGTCTCATTCTGCACCCCAAATCTATCAGCCCTCTTTCAGGAAGTGTCAAAACTTTATTTTCTTTTTAGTCAATTATTCAATCGACTATCATTTATTAAGCATTTACTATTTACCAGGCACTGTGCTAAGTACTACAGATACAAAGAAAGGTAACAAAGGAGCAAGGCAGTCACTAACACAGTTTAATATGTAAGACAACACGCAAATAACTCTGTACAAACTTTATCAGCTGTGTATCTATCATCTATGAATCTATTTGACAAATTGAGAATAGTCTCAGAGAAAAGGCACTAGTATTAAGGAAAAGTGGGGAAAAAAAACAAACTTCCATTGCAGGCCAGTGGAACAGCCAGGGAAAGTGTTCAGGATGGAGTATCCTATGAGAAAAAACATTGAGGAGGCCAATGTCATTAGATCAAAGAGTGCATGCAGTGGAGTAAGGTATAAGAAGACTGAAATAGTAGGAAGTAGACAGGTTATTAAGGGGTTTAAAACAGATGATTTTACATTTATCCTGGATGCAATGGGGAGCCACTGGAGTTTATTGAATGGAGGTGTATGACATGATCAGATCTCTGCTTTAGGAAGATGAATATGACAGTTGAGTGAAGGAAGAATTGAAGTGGTGAAAGACATGAAGACCAATCAATAGGTTATTGCAATAGTTCAGGCATGAGGTGAGAAGGATCTGCATTGGGGTAGTTGCAGTGTCAGAAGAGAGAAGGGGGTACATAATGAGAGATGCCGTAAAGGTAAAAATGACAGTATTTAGCAACTGCCTGGATATAGGGGAGTGGGATGAGGATATCACCTAGGTTTACAGCTTGAGTGGTAGGAAGATGATGGATGTACTCAATGGTAATAGGGAAGTTAGGAAGAGAGAATAGTTTTGGGGGAAAGATAATGAGTTCAATTTGGAACATGTTGATTTTAAGAGATGTCTTACAGGACATCCAGTTCAAGAGGTTTAATAGATAGTTGGATTTCACTGCTTTGGATGGAAATAATTATAAAATATAGTATATATTTCCAGTCTTTCTTAAATAGAGACTGCTGAAAAGATTTGTTATTTTATCATTGTAGGTAATCCTTACACCAATACAGAATGCAACTCCTCCATAACACAATTACATAACTATACTATGGTTACTTATAGTATAGTGACTTATATTTACTACTATAATAGTGTACTACTTTTACTTACTACTATAGTAGTAACTGTAAGTTATTACTGTAACTTACTACTAAGTATAATTTACTAAGATGGCTTTAGTAGAGTTGTTACTAAGTAGAGTACCTTAATGTAGTTGCCATCACAAAACAAATAGTAACAACCCAAAAAACCCTTTTTCCTGTGGCCAATGTAGTGGTGAGATTCTTTGTACTTAACTAGGCTAATTGTTGGACATAATCCATCACTTGTCCCACATTCAAAACCTTTCCAGCTTGCCAAAGCTTGCTCTTCCCATGATGTGGCATCAGAAAAGACTTTTAGTTGAGGAAATAGTATGCTAAACACAACCTCTGCATATGACAGGACCTATGAATTTATGCTCCTACTTTAGTATGCTATCTACCATACCACATTTCTCCAAAATCAATGAGTGTACTTTTGATATAGTTCAATATGGCAGGGGAAATTGAGGTGTGTAAATTCTTCCTATGCTAACTAACCCCAAGACTGTTGTACTTTCATACAGGTGGTTCCTCTGTTTTCTTTCTGTAAGGTCAGTCATCGTTTTTTGTTATTATCAGTGTTTTTGTGTTTCTCAAATGACGCTTTATTTGATATACAGTTGTCTGAACAGAGACTGGTTCTTTGCCCAGGCTTTGTTACAGTTACTTGGGACTCAAAGTCCTTATGTGCTTCTGAGTTGATGACTGTCTGATGGTTAGGTTGCAGGAAGCCTGCCTTGCAAACAAGTTGAGTGCTACTATAGTTGGTTTCTAGTCTTTTATTACTAATGAGATGATGGCATATTATTTTATCTTCATTCTAGTTTGTTGTGAGACATGATCTTTTGTATTTGCGATGATAACAAAACATGTTTTAGCAGAGACATATAAAGATAAAAGCACTAATGAAGAGTTTGTTCTTTTGTTTTGGTGTCATAAACAAATTTCACTTTTTGATTAATAGGATAATGAAAAATATTGAAATATTTGTTTCATTTTGAATTACTATTTCAGCAAAAGAATGAGAGCTCAATGTTCCAGTTAATGATTACCTTAGTCTCCAAGTTTCCCTTTATGTTGTTACAACAAAGAAAAAAAAAACATTACCACTTAAGGAACTGAAACCCAGTCTATTCAATTGTAACTTGATGTAAATTCTATTGGGATACTAACAATAACACATAGAGACAAGCTGGTTTTAGAATGTGGCCAAGGTCTGGAGGATTTGATCTTACAAAAGCAGTCCTTTATCTTTTTCTCTTTTAAGGACAGAATCATTTCAGTTTAAGGTCTTGTTCTCAAAGTCCTTCAACCCGATAGAATAAATCTGAACCAATGAGGTAATCTTGAGATAGGAAAAATAGTAAGTTGAATGTAAATACCACAAGTACTTTCCAGTCTTTGAATATCAACACAAGAAAAAAAATCTGTTTACATTAATAGAG